CTACTCTCTCTCTCTCTCTCTCTATATATATATATATATATATATATATATAATTGTCTTGGATGGAGCCACGACCAACACATCACCCATGTCTATGTGCAAGAATGGTACTACTGTAGAAAGAGTAGCATGTAATCTTTGTTTACACGGTAGGACCCATACATTATTTTCACAAAGGAGCTGACTCTCTCTCTCTCTCCAACTAGATTGTCAATTTTTTTGTTAACACTGTAGGGCAATTCCATTATTATTATTTTTTTACATTGTAGGGCAATTCCATTATTATTTTTTGTTTACATTGTAGGGCAATTCCATTATTTTTAGAGGCGCTGATGATTGTCCTTTTTGCAGATTTGAAAAACTGGAGGAAGATGCCTTCACATATGCATTTATTCTCAGGGCATTGGACATGGTTCCACCCAATGGTTCTCTCATTTAAATACCCACCCTTTTCATATTTAAGAAACAATAATGATTATTCACTCCGTTTTAAAGCTGAGAGAGCCTATTTAATCCATTGGAGCATTTATAATATGGCCTTGTAAGGGCATTCATATGAAATTATGTGTATTATGTTTCCTTGAGCAATTGGATTTTGGCTTTGTAGTACATTAAATACCCATGCTTAAGTCATATTATAAGTAGGAAAAATATGCAATAAAACCATTTATTTTTGGTACAAAAGGGTCTTTATCACCCTTGATTATATAAACGAAAATGGTTTGATAGGGGATGAGTTACTGACCAGTTAAAATGAAATTTTTTCAAACTTTGAAATACCTCAAGTTGGATGTGACATCTGGTGATAAGAGTGATTATGACCTCTTTAAATCAATGGCAAATGGTCTTGTAATATACAAGTATTGAGATTGATTGAGCCTCTTTTATCTTATAGAATTGTATAGAATGAGATTATTTATTGTTGATATAAGGAGGTTACAATTACTCATAATTATTTTATGTGAAATCTGTTAGCATGGGTATATCACATAGTTTGAAAACATTTTTTTGAAGTTTGAACTTGGTCAATGGAATAAATGTAGCTATCTAATTCACATCTAATGATGAAGATTATTTGAGAACACATTGTACCAATGATAAATAGTTTCATTATATATTTTTCATTATTTATCTTTGAGATTTCCTTTGGGCACTAATTTAGTGGTGTGTAGGGGAGAGAGAAATCCACTTATCATCACAGTAGTGTTAGAAAACACGTTGGCCACGGGGGTAACGCATAACCCGTCCGGGTAACCGGATCCTAACCAGGACCTCTAAAGAGGGTTAAAAAAGTTCTATAAAAAAATCTCTAAAAATATGAAAAGTATAGTTAAAGTGTAATTAAATAAGGTACATCCAAATCCAAATGAGATTAAAAAAGTAGTGAAAAAATAGATTTTGAAAAATCAAGTTTTGCTCAAGGATACTTGGGAAAAATCTAAAAAGGAAGGGAAAATGTAAAAATAAGTATCTATGACCGAAATACTTCCCAATCTTTTTCAAAATAATGGAAAATATTAAAACAAATCTATTGCATACAATTTTTTTATTTTTTAGGATTTTCTATGTTTTTTATTTTTTAAAATTTTCTAACTTGACTACCGTAACTGGTTGAAACTAGCCATGGTCGATAGCCGGTTCTTGTAACCTGACTGGGTTTGAGTTTGCGAACATTGGTCAAGAGAGAGATCAAATTGCTCCTACAAAAATTTTAGGGCTATTCTAATCATTTTTTTCATGATTCTATTTTTGTTCAAGATGGTTAGATGTACATGTTCCCCCAAATTTCAATAAATCTGATTTATAAAAAAAATTAAAATTAAATACAAGTGGATAATCATGATCTCTGATGAACTTTTGATAATAATGAATTATGAGTGAAGCATTGTAGGGATTCACTTTTGACTGCATTCTTAAGTGCAATTCTATTTACTATCTAAAACCCAATTTGGAAGTACTTTAGGACTCTAATGAAGATGTAACCTCTTCAACATAGAGACTCTCCACGTGCTTAAAATAATACGTAAAAGATTATATAGAGAGTTTGTATAGAGCCGAGGTTCTAAACAATCAAATTAGAACTTACTTCAAAAATTTTATGAGAAAAAATTGTTTTGATGTCCAAATATCTTCAAATTGATCAACTCAACATCAAGATGCATGCACATGAAAAAAAAATAGGTTTCAAGTTTTAAAAATAGTATATTTTGTAATGCATTTTTTTACCTTAAATTTTCAAAATTTTCAAGTTTCAATAGATATGTGGATTTGGACTATTTTTTAACCTTTAAACTTCATAAATAAAGTTGAAAATATATTTTAAAGCTATCACAAGATTTCCAGAGTTAAATAAAGAATTTTAAATTCGAACTTTTTTCTTTTGAAAAAAATCTTAAGCGGTTACCAAAGTTTGGAACCAAAACAAATCCTCCCAAGTAAAGGGCGTAAATGAATGGTATGCTCCTAAGGATAACAATCCCTTGCTATTTATTTAGAGAAATGATTCATTTCTCATTTATTTACGCGCGCGGCGATCTTTGGCTCTTAATTTTCCGAGGAATTTGCAGAGCCTAGCCTCAAAAAGAAAAAGAAATCGTAAAACTGAAGGTACTCTTAAACCCTAATTCGCTTTCCTTTGCTACTTCTCTCTGTAAGATTCGGGGTTCTACGCTAATTTAAGCCTGATTTCTATTTTTCCGTCTCATCTCGATTGATGAAGTCTAGGGTTTTCATTTGAAGGTACTCTTGAACCGTAATTTCTCTCACCTTTTCAGCTACGTTTCTCTGTAAAATTTGGGATTTTATCCGCCCAATCAAGCGCTAATTTCTCGTTATTCCTCTCATCTCGGTTGATGCATTATAGGGTTTTCATTGCTAGCGATTTTTAAGCCTATATATATCATATTCAGGACACTGCGAGATAAGTTGCAGAGATGGGGTTTTGAGGCTCACCGTTCTCTTCTTCTGTGAAGTTTGTTGAGCCAGTCATGACAATGGAGGATGATTCAATCGAACAAGCAGCTGTTGCTCGTCGGGAGAGGCTCAAGGCTCTCAAAGCTGCGAAAGAGCTTATGAACGGTCCAGATGAAGATTTAGGGCAAAAGGAGTCTATAAAAGAAGATGCAGAGGAAACTGAGCCAGAGGAGTAAGCATCCATTGCGTTTTTTCTAGATTTTGTGATAGAATTTCTTGCTTCTCTTATGCTTCTTTTCTCGTATGAGATATAAGATAGAATTGAATCAATTGGAATTGATCAATTTTATCTTCTAATGTGGATAATGGGTACAAGGACTATAGCTTAAACCCCTTCAGTAGGAGTTCTCCAATAACTGCTTGTTAATGGGGCCCAAAAATGTGTATTACTTTTAAAGATGATTTCCTTGCACATAGTAACCAGTCTCACAAGTATATAATTGTTAGATTTCTAACTGCTTCCCCATGCGTACTCATAAATAACCAGTCTCGCCAGCAGTTTTTGATTTTGAATTACTAAGTGATGTTAGTCCTGCTTATTGGGAAAAAAAAGTGGTATAATATGTTTATGTCATTACGCTGTGTTGATGGACATGTATTGATAATTGCTAACATATTTGGAGTTGTTAACTCTTCGTAGACAACCGAGCATGAAGTTCCGGAATTACCTTCCTCATGACAAGCATCTCCAGGAAAGCAAGTTGGCACCCCCTCCCCCACCAAAGTTTGAAGATCCAGTTGCTCCAGAACCTCCAGTATCTGAAAAACCAGAGGTGTTTTTTACTCCATTGATATATAAGCAAGTTTCACCTTGCTTCCTTGCTTTTCTTACTGTATTTGGCTTTCATTTTATTATTTCAAGTAGTGAAAGTGAAAATTCTTAAAACTCTGGCCTAATCATTGTTAATTGGCAGGACCCATTTGTGAACATTGCCCCAAAGAAGCCAAATTGGGATCTTCAGAGGGATGTGCAAAGCAAGCTCAAGAAGCTTGAGAAGCGGACGCAAAAGGCAATGTTCGAGCTCATGCGTAAGTCCTGCCTATACTTATAATCTATGTTACTTAAACACCAAACCATGTATCGTGTCCGATACATGTCAAAAATGTCTAGCATTTCGGCCTAGAAAGCCAATATGACAAGGCACAGATGACCATTTGGTTATTATTTTAAATTTAAGTAAGAGATTGTTATGCATATACAACAACCATATCATGTTTATCTCACTTAAATGTGATTGACGTAGTAGTAGACTGCATGAACTTGGCACAAGACATCTTGGGTTCAAAACCCAGCCTTGTGCACCCCAGGTGTCAGCCCTGAGCACTCAACACCATCTCAAAAGCAGGGGTTTGGCGTTACGTAGCCTATAGTATTGACCCCATATCCTCTTACCAGTATGTTACTTGAGTTTATGCCCTTTTTTTTTACATGACATGAGTTTGGCCGAGTCACTCGGACTCGGCCGAATAACTTGCCTCGATCAAGGTCCGAGTACCCTTGGCCGAGTCGATTTTCTGAATACTGACCTTCGCACTTTCCCTTTGACCTTGCACCTTGTAGACCTCTTATAGTAACCAATGACCGTGACTCTTGCAGAGGAACAAGACAAGGAAAGATTAGCTTTAACTACAGAAAATGGCACTGTCAGTTCTGAAGATTAGCTGGCGCTGCTGATTGTTGATTGATATTGTACATGCCTCCTTCAGCGTTCCTAGATTCCACCTCAAAAATATGAGAGGTATGATTCGGAGTTTCAAGAATTTATGGTCGCCTTTGGTTTGAAAAGCTGTATACAATGAATATAATCAGAGACAGTGGAGAGGAGGAATGTAACGTGGCTGCTACTTTTTATATTAGCTCTGTACACATTCAGAACAATCCGGAATTCCAGAACCACAAGTGCCTCAATCTTAATATGCAGGATTTGTGTGTGTTTGTATGAGAGAGAGAGAGATTGGAACGATCAGGAATTGGAGAGTACCAGTGCATCAAACTTGAGATGCAGGATTTGTGAGTGTGTGAGAGAGAGAGAGTCTTTGAATTTTGATGGATGAGGAGAGAGATTTTTTGAATTTTGAGAATGATGGTAGGTTCTTCTTGAGCACGTATATTATGCTCCCTCAAGAGCATACTATATATTTACTCCTTTGGGGAAAACACCAACTTTGGATTTTTTGTATTTTATTTTTGTAAAGTTCAAGATATATCTAATTATAACTAGATGATTATAGACTCAAAAAAAAAAAACTAAGATTTTTTGCAAAGAAAAATAGTCAGATTTTGAGTTTATAAACATCTATCAGTCTCTCCAAAAATTGGACCTTTCCGGTGCAATCTTGGGATGCTATGTCTTTTTTTTTTCTTTTCTTTTTTTCCGTCTTTGAGTCGTTTTTTGGATTCTAGAGGTAGATACTCAAAATTTGAGATAAACAAGATATCCCTAGAGTCTGAGGGAGTAAATGGATAGCATACTCCGCAGGAGTAGGAAATCTTTTGATTTCTTTGGATCTGGATTGAGAGATTTTTTGTATTTTGAGAAGAAAGACGTTCTTTGAATTTTGAGAATCGGAGATTTCTTGAATTTTGAGAATCCGAGATATTCTTTGAATTTTGAGAATGAGAAAAGAGATTCTTTGAATCTGGCTAATGAGAGAGATTCTTTAAATGTTGATGAAAACGGAGCAGGGAGAGAGAATCTTTGAATTTTGATGAAAGAGATTTTTGGAATTTTTTTTATTTTTTCTATTTTGGAAGACAGCTTTTGTCCGTTTTTTCAATAGATTAGGGAGTTACATTTTGAAGGTGTTAATGGGGGTGTTAGCAGACGATATGGTAAAAGGGTGTGGGAATGTTACCATCAAGATCTTAATCCATTTCAAGTGGTATGTTACTGTATGGAGAGGCAAGATCTTAACCCATTTCAAGTGCTATGTCAGTGTATGGAGTCAGAGGTATGTCAATGGGGATTTGGGCCTATGAGAATGGAGTCAGATACTTCACCATGGGGTACGGCCAAGACCCCAAATCATTCACAAATTCTTTGAATTTTGATGAATGGGAAATGCACGGCAGTTACACTATGAAACCAAGAACTGCAGTGCAATTGGTCAGACTTCATATCTCAAACTCTTCCAATAAGAAAAGGCAAAAAAAGAAGAGAGAAGCTCATCTAATGCTCGACTTTCGGACGCAAAACCCTTAGTCTTTTGTTAAAGGAAAAAGTTTATGTAAGGTGTCAGTCTTATAGTGTAAAAGTGAGGTGCATCTCAAAATTCCACTAGCAAAGGTTGTTTTAATATAAAAGAACTGATTATCTTGTGATATTATTTAGATTTTTTTTTTTTAGAATTTTAAAATATTTATAGATGAGTTTGATCTACACTGTTTTTGGATTTTGAAATTTCATAATTAGATGTGAAAATATATTTTAAGTCATCGAAAGGGTTTTTAGTACTAGAGTTGCAGCAAGATTTAGAAATGCACCTTTGATTGTTTAAAGTTGCACCTTAATAAACCACACCCCTGTTAAAAGTTGGCTTTAAAAGCTAGCTGAGGTCCATCTTTTTTAAAGTGTTTGCATCTCCACTTATTTCTTCCCTGCCTCAAAAGTAGTGGAAAAGCTCAGAGTCTTTTTTTATCCTTTTGAGGAATAGAGACAAGCTCAAACCCGTAAACTTGAGTGCCTTAAAATGCATGTGAAAGAGTCTCAAGGCCCTATATGACTATCTTCTTCAAAGGGGCGAGCTTTTTGAGGGTCCCCATGCTCATAATTTAGGCATGAATTTGTGTATTTAACAATGTCATATATTAATTGTATTTATTTAAAAATAATTGATGTTAGATTGTGACATTATGCTGACTATCAACTATCTAATTTGTTGCTTACGTCACATAAATTATAAAATTCATATGCGTACAGACGATTGGTTTAATAAAGGTTGTTCCTATGTCAAATGGCAGACCTGTACAAGCATTCGTAGATGTACGCGCAAGCAGGAGAGAGATCGAGATAAGTGCTCTCAATTTACACAAGTTTAGATCATTAATGATATAGGACAAGATGTTTCTTATTTTTTGTTTTTAATTAAATTTCAGGATATATTTTTTATTTTTTAACCTTCTAAACCCTTTTGACCATGTATTATTGACATCAACAAATTATGAAATGATTTTATCTCTCTCTTTTTAAAACTCCATCTCTTTCACATCATCATTTCTCTATCTCTCAAAAGTCCATCTCTCTAAATCCCAAACTCCAACTCTCTCTCTCACATCATCGTTTCTCTCTATCTCAAAACTCCATCCTCTTTCTAAAATTCAAACTCCATCTCTTTTTAAAACTCCATCTCTCTCACATCATCATTTCTCTCTCTCAAAAGTCCATCTCTCTATAACCCGAACTCCATCTCTCTCTCTCACATCATCGTTTCTCTCTATCTCAAAACTCCATCTCTCTTCTTAAAATTCAAACTCCATCTCTCTCTAAAACCCAAACTCCATCTCTCTCTCTTTAAAACCCATTTCTCTCTCACACATAAGAACGTGTGCTCGTGTTCGAGCTCAAGCTAAACCCCTTGATTGGTAAACTCACGAAGCGAAGAGAGAGATGGAGTTTGAATAGGGTATCATTTTAGTCTTTGTTTGGGTAAAAAATTTATGATCAAAGGGATCCATGGAGTTGTAAGATGGAAAAGATGGTGACTTTTTTGTTACAAATAATATTTTCAATTCTTGGGTCTCATGAGATATGAAAGTTAAAAATATGAGACAATGAGATATTTCCCTCTTCTTCTTTTTTAAATATATTTTTTAAAATTTTAAAAGTTGTTTGAAAATATATTTAGAGCTTATGGAATTTGCCACCAATTTTCGACCCATGGTTAGATGATGAGCAATATTTTGTAAGAGATCCAATCTACAATGATGAATAAGATTTGGTGATAGAACCAATCTTTGATGAAAAAAAAGATAAAGGGCTTAGAATCAAAAAACGACTTTCGTTCAACCATAAATCTAGTACTCATCTCAAAGATGCTCTCCTTTTCCATTGTGGGGCTGAAGTAATGCAATTTCATCTAGGTTATGTGACTAAATTGAGCATATATGTCATGGCTATTCCATCGAAATATAAAACCCTTTCATCAAGGGATTCTCAAAAGTTTCTACGTATATAATTTAGTGCAAAGACCTACTTTTAATGCACAATCACGGTGTTTCAATGCATATTCACCTAAAAACAGTTGTTTCAATGCACAACTTCCAAGATCATGTTTACAATATTGGAGTTGAAGAAGGTTGTGGGTTTAATAAAGAATTCATCTGAGCCTATTTCAAAACTCAAGTACGAATTTTTTCAACCAAAGAAAATTGATACAAGATATGATAATTCTCATTTTTTTTATTTCCTTATTCAAATTACTTATCTTTTTTTTTGGTTTTAAGTTTTTTAGGGGTTCTAACTTCTGAGTCCTATTTTTTATATATATTTTTTAAAATTTGAAGAGTTGTTTAGAAATGTATTTATAGAATATTTTGTTTTATCAAAAGTAAAATTATCACTACGAATTTTGTATTTAAGTTAAAGACTTTTAAATCATTTTATTTTTTATATCAACACCTAATATCTTTAGTTATTAAATTATAATATATTAGAAGTACGATACAATGTGATTTTCAATTTGGGAAAGAACAGAAAAATTAAGGCTTTAAGACCCTAACTTGGATGCGAAGAAAAAACCTTAAATTTCTTCAAATAGAGAATTTTGTTGGGCTTCATTTCTGTTGATTTTACTGTTTCCATAAATTTTCTTACGTCAGTTATTATGCACCACACCTATAATCATTGATGCGCATTGTGAAAAGAAAACAACGCCCCTTCTCTTAAAGTGTGTGAACGCGGGCACTCTTTTAATTGAACCGTCAAGAGAGAGAGAAGGTTTTGTGTAATTGAACCGTCCTGGGCGGAGAGAGAGACAGCTTCGCCTTTCAATTGAACGGTCTGAGATAAAAAAGAAACCAATAAATCTGCCATCTTCTCCCAATTCCGATGGTGATTGAATCTTACTGAAGAAAAGTGGATCATTTATAACAAAATCCAAAAGAATTACAGCAAACACTCTCTAAGGAAACTTGCCTTACGTCTTTCGCCCACCAAAACAGTGAGGTCAACTCCTCATCTTACATACACCACAATAGACAGACATAAAAAGAAGAGGAAGTCGGATTTCATTTCCTGGTTGCAGAATATATATAGGATTTCGCAATTAAATTTTATCTCACCCACCCACAAATTCCCTTACTATATATATTTACTGAGACACGTTTGCTTATACCCCAAATCTCAGATAATTCTTCATTCTCCACAGCTACTAGCTTCCCATTAGTGTAGTGGGAGCGGAAACACTGGGGTAAACCTTTGCACTATGCGAGCTCTGATATGGAGCAAGTGTACAAGTGAATTTTGAAACTTTTGTTTGGTCCTTTGCTGGATTGGCCTTGCTTTATGTTCTCTTAGACTGGTTCGTGTCCTTTGATGGTTCGGTTTGGTTCCAAGCGTGATCAGATCGGGGGAGCTGGTACTCATCGGGCTTTAGCGCCAGTGGGAAGTCTGGCAATGGGGGTGCTGACTCTATGATCCTGCAAAGTCCAGGTTTAGTTTAAATGAGTTAAGAATTGATCTCTCTCTCAGAGTTCAAACGCTCAAGCACATATGCAGCACAGTGCTCAACTGCAGGGGGATTTGTTGTTTGCAAGTGCCGCCTTCTGAATATGAAGACAGTGATACTTCTTTCACATATTTTTTAAACAATGAACCGTTACCTTCCATACTCGAAAATCATAAACACCCCAAGCTATCATATGTTGAGTCTGACGGCTGGGTGGATCATTTCCTTGCACAAATTTCAGTTGCAATTAATAGTACAACCCAGCAGCCAGATTTCATGTCTAATTACCAGGGGTAATTGTAACCTTTTTGTACCAAAGGTACACCATCTCTGCTTTCCTTTTTAAAAAACCTCAAGGTGGGCTTATGTATGTATGATATATCTATTTGTGCATGAAAGTATGTAACTGTGTATTTATAAATGTAAAGATTAAAAAAAAGGAAGTTAAGGATATATAAGTTTCTCAAAGGAAGGATTTATTTTTAACTCACTTCTCATGACTGTAGAGATCTCTGTTGATGCGTGCCTTGTTGGCAGCATCGTTTGGGATCTTCTCCGACAAATATTTCATTGCTCCCCAAAGAGGAGGATTCCTGCAAGAAATACTAGTACAAAATCACATACACATGCAAACACGAATAACTAAGGCCCACTTCTTTAAACTCAATGATGACTCTTGTACTGCTTGCTCATAATATAAATGGGAAATTTGAGTCAACCAAAACTGGCATTTGAACAAATACGCTTATTATATGCGACTATTCCTAGAAGTATTAAGATAATTCGGCCAGAACTATTTCTTTTTGCTCTTGCTTGTGGCCTGAAGTAAGAGTTCTAAGTCCTTGGCCCAAAGGCTAAAATCCAGGCCAAGGTCAACCCAAGCCTGGCCTATGATCAAGGGCCCTTATCTGGACCTGGCCTGGGCACAACAAGACCCAATTACACCTAGACCAGCCTGGCCCAGTAGCATTTCGATAGGCAGCCTGGCCCCTAGCAGTATAAATTAGAAAGTCTTGCAATTTGTTCATCGATTTTTGCAATATTTGACAGTTAGAGCATCCCCAAGTCGACTCCCCAGACTATTGGAGCTACCTTTGTGAAAATATGGAACAATTAATCCACCCAAAACATGGGTGGATATTAAAAACATAATGTCATAATGGACAAATAATTATTGAAACATTTTTTACCTTGGGAAATAAAAAATTCAGTCGACCGTGACTTTAGTAATCCACCCAAACATGGGTGGCTTATTAGAAACTTGATTGGCTGTATTAACAACTACACCTAATAGGCCTGGTTGGGCTCAGCCCAGTCCATTACCTTATTTTTTAAGGGCTCATGGGTCAAAAGTAGGCTTGGGCTGAGCTCATCAATGCCTTTGGTAAGTAAATCCCTATACGACTGGCCTCATGAGATTGCCAAAGCACGGGCCATGCCTACTCGACCCATTGGGGCAACCCAGGCCCACTTTCATCCCTAGACACTTGAGAGAGAGAGAGAGAGAGAGAGAACCTTGATTGTGGAGGCGCTGTAGAGAAGCACTCAGCAGCCTTTTTACTCTCTTTTAGAAACTCCTCTGCTGCCCGAAGAGCAGCCACTGCCATAGTATGAGACTTCTCGGTGTTTGCTTCATCAAGGATTAGGCCATGATAATAGTAAGCTGCTGCCTGATCAACAAAAATCATAGAGGTAGATCCCATGATATCCTAATATTGTTTGTTTGATGTATAAACACAATTTATATTTTTAAAATTTTGAAATGAACATACAAATATTCAATCCAACTTTTGCACTTTACAATGCCCGTAAAGAAACACCCATAACGTGAATGTCTGACCATACACTCTTAGGACTTATTGGTTTATGCAAATATTGATCCAAACATAGCAGACACAAGGATGACAAACGAGAATCACATATTAATTTTTTGAATTAAAAAATTGCAAAAAACAAAGAGCTATCTTAGTTAATGAGTAAAAAGCTTCAATGTTCTAGATAGTTTGTAACTCTTTTTAGCCTATATCAGAAATCGAGATGTGCTATTTTCGTTATGCATTTTCATAGGTTCATAAAAACATAAGATGAGATCAATTAAATGAGAAATGGACACTTTATCATACATTAAACTGTATAAATCAGATGACGACCAGAAAATATTAAGAAGAGAGAAGCAATCAAGAAAAACAATTAGATAAAACCAACCTTTGCTTCAGTAAGCTTCCACTTGACAAAAATTTGATGTTTTTCTCCCCAACTATTACATAAAGGAAGGTTTATGAGGCCATCCTGAGCCTGCAGCAAGAAATCATGTTCATGCGTAAGGAATTTGGTAATTGAGATAGTGCATGCGCACAAAGATAAGTTCTTCTTTTCTTGATAAGAATATAGATTCTGGTTCTAGAAATTTATCTAAAATAGGTTGTAGTTTATTTGTCTGCAACATGTGAACCTATGAAATAATCTTACGGTAAGGCAAGAAACTTACAGTTTGAGAATGATAAACAGGCATAACCAATTCAATAGTAAAAAAAGATAGATCAATTCAATTTAACCACATTGGCACAATTCTGCTATTAGTATTACTTGGAAATTATTTAACCTAATTTTCTGAAGTAACTAGCCAATATATGTCTTGAGTTCTAACAGGTCAACGACTGTGGATACTAGTGAGAAGGACTGATGACTCAAGGAGTGTTTAGATTTCTGAAGCTTTTGGAAGTGGGATATGGAAGCTGCCCCCCTCTTCCACACGATATGGGAGCTGCCCCTTCCATCATTTATTATGGAAAGGATGGCTTCCAAAAACGTGGCTATTTCACGTTAAAAAGATAGCCCCATGGAATGCCACACTTCCACCTTGCAGCTTCCACGGGGTTACCTCAAACATGAAAGTGGTTTTGTTGGATTGTTGAACTCCCACTTCCAAAAATTCAGAAAATCAAAATACACCCTTACTGAAGAAAATGGAATCATGTTGCAAATAACAAGTTGCATTACCTGCTTCCAATACTTCACCATTTCACAGGCAAGTCTTCGTTTCACAGCTAAGGTGGCCTTGGTGCTATCAATTGCAATTCCAAGTTGAACGTCAACACCCTACAACATCCACATAGTGAATATGGAAAGAAGGTAAGTGATTCTTCTTTTTCATGCAATGAAATAAGTAAGGAACCCACAACCTAAAGCATCATGTATCTCTTTATAAACTATAATTATATTTCATACATTAAACATGAAAAAGATACGATGCAAGTTCTCCAAATACATATACAATGAGAATTCAGAAAACATAAGCAGTAGCCAATAACATTATTGTGTTTCATAATTATGTCCACATCTCGTGTATCAAATTACAGAAGAAGAGGTCAGTGTTATAAAGACTTTAAATGACTTTCACAAAATCATGGAGAATATAAAATGGAGTTCAGTAATGGAGTCCACAAATAAGTGCCTCGTCTAACTGGAAATATCATTAACTAGAATAGAGTAAGGAGGATATCATGGTCGAACAGAAAAATAGCATGTACTAGAAAAATCGCAAAAATATCATGACAAGTAAATTTGACCATGACAGTTGACAGAGAAAAATTAAGCCATATACAGAAATGTAAAAGTCAGGGAGAGTCTAACAAGTAATTATATAATGGAAAAGATGTTTTAATCTATATGCTCATGATAAAAACGCGACCCTGTGGATTATCACTGTCCAAGCAAATGGGTTCAGCGGTGATGGAGCAGATGAAATAATGACATGTTTGACAAAACCCACTCGATCTATCACCATCCAATCCATTGATGGGATGGAAACATCCCCATAGTAATGTTGTTTTCATGACCATATGGATCATATTATATGGCCACTTATACAATCCAAACAGATGACAGAGACCTAGAAAAACAGGTATAAATATTAGAAGAGAAAAGTATTATTCAGATATAATGGGAACTACCTGTCCCAGTGCCTGGAGGCAGAGAGCTTGCAAAACTCCTTCTTGAAGGTCCACCGGAAGATCTCTCCTACAATAACAATCACAAGACTCATAATTTTAATTATCATATGTAAGAAATGGCCACGCATCTCAAAATAGTAAGAACAGTTGCAACCCAGCATCCATCGAAATCAGAAAAGCTAAATGAGCTATTCAATCATGTTCATAATCAGATTCATATTAAGACAAATGACATTAAATTGCATACCTAACATCAGGAGGCATTTGAGGAAGGACTTGCCGAACAGCACAATCCAAATATCCAGCCGCCCGCAAGAATATGTCAATAGAATTCCGCCTGCTCTCTGTTACGAATTATATCATTTTCAGAATTAGATCTTCTCAAAAAGTAAGAAAATAAGCCTTGCACACGAAATAAGTATTATTACAACGAACTATGAATCCTTAAGATACTTGGAAGGGTTGCCATATTTATACTTAACTGCTAACAAGAAAAACAGGAAGGAAATAAAAAGTAAAATCATAAGTTCATCGAATAGATATCCTACAGTAATTTCTCCTCCTACATCTCCTACCATGATTTTCGAAAATGGAAGAAACCTTATGCATCACAGCATGTAACTTGGTACCCACCTTCAGATACCTTTGGCTGGTAACCGTCACTAGGTGTTTTAGGAAGAAGTAAGAAATTGGCCTGTGACAGAGAGAGCATAGCCATCAAGTGTAGAACTGATAGTACCTCATACCAAGTATCTGATACGGCTGTTTCCTGCAAAAATATCAAGTGAATCAGGGCAGGTGTACCTTTTGAGTCACAAAAGTGCCTAATCAACACAGAGAATTGTCCCTCAACCTAGGATCTGAAGTACACAATGCCCACCTCTTTATCATCCTCCTGGTTGACCCACACAAACTCTACTTTGTTCATAAGCTGGCTTCCTGTACAATGAAGTCATGTACAACTGTTAGAAACGCAACCATACACAGAAAAGATACCATTCCCGAGTATCTCCAAACAGCATGCTTAATCTTTACATTTTGAAGCCATCAAGCCACAACCTACCATCTTTTACTAGTCCCAGGAGAACTGGCAAGTAATCCTCAATAGCTTGTTGAAGATCAGCAAGCGTTGTGCCACCTATAGACAAATGAAGACCATGAAGCATCAGCAAAGTTGATGATTAATTAACTGGGAGCATGATATGCATCCAAATTCTACCATTTTAGATACTGGTCCAGAATCACAAAAAAAGAAGATAAGAAAACCAAATACATGCCCAAAGGAATAAGATATCCAATTTGTAAGGTCATGTTACATTTTCTTTTTCTTTTTTTTGGGATAAAAGTTGATGGTGATATTACGTTTTTTGCAGTCCTTTTATTGTATCAGAGCATATTTATAATATTTATAGATATAAGCAGGAAAATTACCAAACAACAATACCAACCATGTTGGGTAGCAGTTCTTCTCCTGGGCTTTGAAGCAGTTGGTGCTTCTTGGGCTGCCATGACAACTATTCGAGTCCTAAGAGCTGAGAGGCGTTGCACCAGACTCGAAGACAAGCACTGCGATAACGTGCTTGAAAAGTCCACATTTTGGGGTATCCGGAATCCTGGCACAAAAACTACAATCTCCCCGACATGCCCAGGCCACCTCCTGTTCTTCTCACGATTTTTTGGACTCGATATTAGGCATCCCATATCCTAGGGCTTTCTTCTGCAGATATATGCAATAAGTTTATCAGGATTAACAATCAGAAAGCCATGGTAGTAGAAATATCAGGATAATAATCGAAAAGCTATGGTAATAGAAAGTGAAACCGCCAGATATATCTTCTCCTATACCCACATGAACCCAGACATGTGATCACAATTTTCGTGTGAATGGTGGGAGAGAGACAATAAGTTTTTGAATATCCAGGCTGCGAAGTTATAGATGACGAGAAAACAGAGAAGAATACGCTAGAGCACAATAGCTTCAAAATTTTAGAAAAGTTTGTCCTAACACAAACAAGATTTCTACAAATTACCATGACCTATCAATCAGTTGGACTGAGCGGATAAACACATCACAATCGGCAGATATTTGAGAGGTGTGCTCAATGGTATAAAATTTGATGGGAAACACGGAATGCTATGCTTATTAAACAGTAGTGTCCAAGGCAAAGCAACACATGGGATAAATTGGTTGCTAAGTCAGCCAGGCCCAGAAGGAGAGGAGAAGAAAGGCAACCATTTTAGCACTTAAAAATTATTTTGGCTTTCCCAATGCACCACCACAATACTGTGAAATACATGCATTATTGAAAAGAGCAATAGGCAAATTTACCAGAAACATCTTAACAGGTTTGGAAAAACTTTTATCTTACAATAATTTATAATATTACTTGAGGGAAGTTACTAACTATTCCAACTCCTTCCCCAACCATGGCAAAATTTAAAAGCAAAACCATGACAAAATTTAAAATAAAAAACTGTACTTCTTCATACCTCTTCTCTTGTCAAAAACTAAGCCCAGCCTTCACTTCCTCTCACAAATCTGTCCAAGAACATCATGGATCAGGGCGCTGTCATATTAGAGAAAAGACCAAACAAAAACCACGGAGAATTGGAAAATAAAATAAAAATTATAGAGCTTTCGAAAATTTATAAAATGAAACCAAAATAGTTTAACTTATCCTATATTTATACAACAAACAATATAAAACCATCTTAAAACCGTCTTGCTTAAAATCATCTACTGGAGAGCAATCAAAACTTTACAATAAAATAATCACGCCGGGAGGTGTTAGAAGAATGTATAATACAAAAATGGAAATGATTTTATGAAGCAAAAGAGTTATAAGGACCTCAGACTTCAGAGATGGATCCTTCAAAGCATGAATAGTATAACACTCATCAAGGATCCATCAGTCACAAAAGCAAACTTTAAGTCTTCAAAAACCATGAGAAGAGGAGTTCAAAATAAGTTATTTACAAGGCAAGCAAAGGGAAACAGGTTGAGCAACATGAATTTTAAATGAAAACAAACACTAAAAAAATTCTACAACTCCTAAAAATAAAAGAGATTCAGGTTTGCCTACAAATCAAAACCAACCCATACGCATAAAACTAAACAACACATAAATCTCAAAGCAAAGTTACTTCTAAACAAGTAACACTTAAAATTCAATAACTATACACATGAAAACCGCGGCGAAAGGAGCCTTATGCTCATTAAAGCTACAGATCAGATGAAATCTCCACAGTAAATAATATAAATCCAAATTTCTCACAGAATTTTAATCTTTATATTTATAAATGCAGGCAAAGGAAGTATATACGAGTTATACTAACCAAAAAACGGCGCTAAAAGTCAATGTATGGAGCAAAATAAAGCCTCGATGAAACCAAACCAGAGATCCAAGATTTGGGTGAAGCTTAACAACTATAAAGTAAAGTTGCTGTCCGCCAAGGCACGAAAACCGTGACCCCAAAACCTCAAAGGAAATTTACAATTAATACAAAAATGCACAGACAAGAAGCCCGTGAAAGTTAACTGCAAAAAATTTGACCTCCAAATTAAAACCAACTGAAAATTAAACCGAGATCCAATAATCCATGGGAATTCAAGGCCATAACAGCACAAAGTTTTAGAGTCTGTTGAGGTGTGGTCAACTCGAATTTACAGTGGCAAACAAGACATATGACAAATCGAGATCCAATTTTTTGGAAAAATGCAAGTAAATGAAGCTAAGAAGCCATTGAAAAAGCAAGTAAGGTGAGTGAAACTAAAACTCAGGCAAAAAAAATAACCTAGAAAAGCATCAAATAAGCTGAAATTCACTTAAAAAATGCAGAAAAAAATCTGAACTATTCATCATGGGAAAGAAAGCATACACAGTGGGATGATCCAGAGACTTGCATGCGAGCTCGATCTCAGCTTTCATTTCTCTATTCTTCCTCTAAATTTCGAGAGAAAAAGGCCAACTAAAACTTACAGAGCGCCATGAAAGCAACAAAATAGCCCAATTTTGAAGTGTAGAGAGAGAGAGTCTTATAAAGCCTTTGAAGCTTGCAGATTTTCTTTGCAGCCGTCTACCTGAAGCCGAATCCTACCTTTTAAAGGCTATGTTTGTACGTTCTTATCAAGCAACAACACTCTTTCTCTCTCTTCTCTCCTCCTATATTCTCTCTCAATTATATTCTCCGTTTCTCTCTCTTCCCGAATTTAAGACTGAGATTTCAAGACGGGACGTCAAAATTGATTGCAGAGAAATTTGTTTATATGAAATTAGTGAAAATTAAAATTAAAATCAAAATTTCAGGTATAAAAAATGTTGAATTTTTAGCGATGTCCGTACGTTATCTACAGAAGCCTAGTGGTAAGTCCTCAGCTCGGTTGCTTTGCTTTTCACTTTTTTTTTTTTTGGAACTCTTTTTATTAATTTGTTTTCCCTAGTTATTTAAAATTTAGCCAGAAGTTCATGTCCCCCTCAAAACTGACAATGCCATTCATATCCTTGGGATGTTGATTGATTTGTTTGAAATTCTTCGGTGGAATTATTATTAAAAGTTACGGGACAAAGTTTATCTAAGGTCGGAATTATTATTAAAAGTTACGGGACAAAGTTTATATATAAGGTCGAAATTATTATTAAAAGTTACGGGACAAAGTTTATATAAGGTCGCAATCTTAAAAATGTAGAATTACCTATGCACATCAAAAATCCATCAAAAAAGGTTCTTTTAATGTTGGAAAAAACTTCTAATTGATCATCTCGATATCAAGATGTATGAATATTAAAAAAAAATTGAATCTTATAAATAGTGCATCTTGCAATGCATTATCTAGACCGTTCATTTTCAAGATTTTCATATGTTTGTAGATCTATTTGATTTAAACTATTTTTTGAGTTTAATATTTTATAATTAGATATAAAAATATATTGTTAGATAAGCCTAAGAATTTTTTCACCAAAACTATATGTTATAATAAATTTTGGGGGTGCACCTTAATTGGATTGTTCAATGTTGTAACCTTATAAAAACCACAATGAAAGTTATAAAAAGTCTATATAAGGTTGCAACTTTATGCTATAGAAGTAATTTGCACCTCAAGAATCCAAAGAAAAATAGTTGTTTCAAAGTTGAAAAACCTTCCAAATCGATCATCTTGATCTCCTCAAGATCAATAAATATAGAGTAAAAATGTAATTAATCTGGACCATCTATTTTCAATATTTTTATATACTTATAAATTTGTTTGATCTACACAATTTTAAAAAAATTATGAATTTTATAATTAGGATTGAACATGGATTTGGATTTTTAAGTCATCGTAAGCTTTTAAACATCAAAACTATGTTAACCAACCAATATTTAAGGTGCACCTTACTTGTCCAGTATGAGGTGTGCACCTCATACAAACCTCAGCCTTCAGAGTTTAAAACCCTCACGGCAAGGAAAACTTTTGAAAAGTCAGTGCACTCCTCATGATCCAAAAGAGCACTTAAATTGTTCTCATTATTGTTTGGACTTTGGAGCAACGTTTTTAAAGCTGGAGTCCTAGACCAACTCGATGAATCGGCCATCTAGGAAATCGGTCTGGATTATCGAATTGCCAAATGATTCGAGTATTTGACCATTTGAGAATTGGTTAGTAAAAAAAATGAAATTGAAAAAGAATAGAAAAAAAGAAATGTATGGGAAGTGGGCGATTAGGCTGGTCCAAGTTGCCCAATTCGCTGGAAAAAAACATTGATTCCCATCCAAAAGGGAACCAAGTCGATCACCACCAAATTTCAATTCGAATGAAGTAATTCTAATCCAGATTGTCAATTTTTTAAAAATTGAATAAATAAAAAATTACAATTAAGCAAGTCGAGCCAGAGAACTTAAGGACCCATTTCAGTTATTGAGGTTATTTTACATGTTACTCTTCCCTGTGAATTGAGGCATATTCAATAATGTCCAAGCAATTTTTTTCTAGAGAGCATCCCTAATTGCCTGGGCTTGTTCCTCGTTCCACATATATAACCGTATTGTTCTTGTTGAAATTTTTTGCTTTGGGCTTCAATAGGGAATTTTGGTAAGCCATTGCTACTTACAATCATTTGAGCCAAATGTTCCATTTTCTAAACTCCAAGCATTAAAGTTTAAGAAAATAAAATAAAACTTAGACCTTGAACAAGTTGAGTCATTTGGTTTGATGACGAGTGAGCTAAATTATCATAAGGGCCTACTACTTATTCAAAGTTTCAAACCAATAACATATCTACCTCGATGTAACCTAGACACTCTCAAATTAAAATAGTTGAAAAAGACGCATATGAAAAGGGCAGGCGCGGTTTGTATAAGGCCAAGGCCCTAAACAATCAAAGTAAGGTGCACCTTCAAACAGTGTTGAAAGATGTTTCAATATTGGAAATTTTTGGAATGGATTGAAAAGTTATTTTCATCTCTAGTTATAAAATTTAAAGCTTCAAAAATAGTGTAGATCGAGAAGATTTATGAACAATTGAAAAACTTAAAAATTAACGGTTTGAAAATGCATTACAAGATGCACAATTTCCTACAATTAATAATCCATTTTTTCTCATGCCTATACATATTGAGATTAAGATGATGATTTTTTAACATCAAAACAACTTAGTTTGGTAAATTTTCTAAGTGTGCCGTAATTTGATTGTTTAGGGCCTTGCCCACATATAAACTTTTTCCTTATAATAGTGATCATCATAAAGATGAAGAAGTCACAAAGTTTGAGATGATTGCAACGTTCAAAAAAAGAAGTACCTATGAAATAAATAATCAATTTCCGACCAATACTATCTTGAAAAACCAATAACAATTAATTTTTCACGTTTTATGATCACAAAAAAATAGTTTTTTAAGTGATGAAAATTGAAAATTGAAAATTGAAAATTACTTTATTTTTATTTAAAATTATTTTAGTTGGCTTCAAGGTGGAAAAGTACAATTGCCTGCTTTGAAGTCCACAACGATGTTTACCATGTGTTTCTTCCATCGTTTTTATGTTCTCTTCCACTTCCATTTGACACTAGCACAAGGGACAGGGATATCCAAAGACATGTTGGGGATTAGAGGGAGCAATCCTTTCAAAACTAATTAATGGAATATTGAAAAGTGGAGAACCCCAAAGTCCTTATTTACAGCTAGATACAATTTTGACCTACATAAATTTCTTTGCCAAACGATTTTATAGTCCCACAATAAGATATACTGTCTATTTACTCCCTCGGAAAAAACCCAATGTCGGAGTAATTTTTGGAACCTCATATTTTGCGAATGTAACCCTCTTCAAATGTAGACTAACATCAGTAAAATATATATATATATATATGAATTGAACTCTTTATATACTAGAAACAAATAATGTGATTGTCCAATTATGAAAGGTGAAATGAGTCAAAAAATAAAAAAAGGTTAGAAATTCATTTTTTGAAAAGTAATAATTTAGTGATTATTTAGGTGGTTCCCAAAATTTCCAACTTAAAAAATCTTGCAAGTTAGTCTTTTGACCTTCCTCTTCTAGAGCATAGCATGTGCACCCAAATTCTTACATGCAAAAGAAAAAAAAAATCTATGAAGTGTCCTTCTAATGATATTGATAATAGAATAATGCTAAAAAAAAAACAAAAAGTGAAACTCTTTTTTTGGGAGTGTTATATTATAAGGGGAGGACATTGGAGGTGAAGTGGTGTACACGTTTTCTAAAAGTTTGAGAATTATATGAAAAGTTCTGAAGTTTTAATACCTTGATCACATTAATAAACAAATACTTCAAAGCCCTGACATCCGTTGACCAGAGTTCACTAGGAAGAAGAAGTTTTTTACAAAAGCAGCATATTATGTGCTCCCGCGGGATCATGTCATCTTTTGCTCCGTCAATCAAAAGTAAAATAAAATAAACAAGAGTGAGAAAAAATCACATGCATTGTGTGCCTAAAAATGTACTATACCCCCAATCACTACTAAAAACTGTGTAAAATGTTTTTTTACAACTTGAGAAGTCCACTGTAGAAAACAAGTATCCAATGAGAACCTTTACCTTTAGATAGTCACAGATGAGATGATATTACCTATTGGATGTAAAATTGGGTGGTTGCATTATTCTATTGATCAAGCTCCTACTTCAAAAAAAAATTTCTCAAACCTCGCAACAAATCAAAGCTACCAGATATCAAATTGAATTGTTATAAGTAATGGGGACCTCTTTGTACCAAAGATAAATAGTCTTATTGCATACAATCATATTTACTATTTAGAAAAAGAGATAACAATTCGAGCTTCATGTTTGAGAGTTAAAACATATTATTTTGGATTATAATTGAGTTATTAATTCATGTATCGAAAAATCATTTGTCAGTCATTTAAAATACCCAAACAACCTTGATTTAAATATCTAAAATTATTTGAAATTTTCTCACACCACAAAAAACTAGTGCAACTACGGCAAATAATTAGAAAACTGTCTGGGCCCTATTAAGATAATTAATAGACATATAAAGATTCTATGAGCCAACAGACTTATAGAACAGTATAGGCTGGACAGCCCACTTCCATGGAAAAGGTTCCATTTGAACGGCGGCAAATGACACATGTATTTCACACCGCATTCTTCATGTGTATCCATCTCTCTTATTTATGTTCTAGCCCCTAGGTGAGTCCAACATGTGTGTAAATTTTCCGGTTTTTTTACTTCTTAAAATATTTATACCTAACCAGTCAAAATTTTGATGGTCTCTAATCAGTATGAATAATCCGGTTTTCTCAGACATTCACCTAATGCATTTGATTTTTATTTTATTTTGTTTCCATTTTAGGGGATTAAATCTCTAAATTTCCGTGTTTCAAATATGCTCCTACATAGGTTTTTATCCATGGAAGAAAATCTCCAACATGCTCCCGCAGGTGCATTGAACTTTAGACAGGGGTGATTGGTACTCTTCTAGGCTCCTACAGGGAGCATCTTAATCGATCGATTTAATTTGGTCAATGGAATTTATTACTTGTTTGAACTGTTGTGATCAGTAATTTTATCTAATAGTGAATCAAGGTACCACGAACCAAGTCCAGCCCCTTTATATTTATGGGAATTTTTTAGTACTATAACGATAACAGTCGTTGTCTTGTCATTGTAGTTCACGCTATTAACTAATTACTTACCCAAAAAAGAACACTATTAACTAATTAATTAGTATGATATCCTCTTGCTAATCCTGATTTGCCCACTTAATCTT